TGGATTTGATTCTCTTCTTTAACTTGAAATAAAATCATGCACAGATGCATTGCACCTGTTGGATTAGATATCGTGCCACCATAGTTTGGGTGGGATAGTTTGTCCCCCTGTCAATCCCTTATAGACAGCCTCAGTATACAGCAGAACACAGATCTCTAGACCAGTTGACATTGGTGTCTACTTTTATAAGCTCTGGACAGTCAGGAGCAAAGCCTAAGCTTTTCAGGTGAAGTAAAGGTATTGCATTTTGTCTTATGTAGGCATAAAAATAAAGCATGAATGAAGTATAACCTGAGCAAGATTTTTACATATAAATCACACAGAGTAGCCAAGCTTCTGTTAAAAACTTGTAAATATCCAAATTACTCCAGCAACCCTCCAGCCACTTTGCTGACCTCTCCAGTAACCCTCAGGATTTTTTGAGAATTCAGATGTTGACTTGAATTCTGCATATTTTAGCAAATAAAGAACTGAGAGATGGAAACTCAAGCAAAAAAGCTGAAGCCAAAGGTGCAATCCTAGTGAGCACAATGCCTGGAGAAAAGGGTGGGTTGAGACCAGAGCAAACTTTCTGCAAGCCATCTGAATAACACCATGAACAACACATAGATTACTGAGACAGTCCATATACATTGAACTCATTGAACATTGGAATTCAGAGGCATAAAAATAATCACCCATGACAAATCAAATGTAAAGTACCTTGCTGTACTCACCAGAAGTGTCTGGATTAGATATAGGTCTTCTACAATTTGCATATCTTCCAGTCCAATGTAGATGCCCCAGGTGCCCTTTGGTATTACATGCACTTCAGTCACTGCCATGTTCATCCCATGTTTTGCAGTAGTGTTTCAAAGTAATTTGTTATCCTAAGAACTCCTTATTTTGGCATATTGTGTGGACATTTGAACATTTTGTTTCAAAAGAATTTTGAAAAAACCCAGTGGGTATTTACTGTCTGAGGAAATTGTAATTTCTTTTCAGAAAAACAGCTAAGAAAATACTTTCCTTTTTTTTTTTTCTTTTTTTTCTTTTTTTCTTTTTTCTTTTTTCTTTTTTCTTTTTTTTTTTTTGCAAAGAACTGTTGATCCTATACAACTTCATTTGAGCAGTTAAGTGAAAAAATGCTCACTTTATCACAAGATTACAATTCTACCAGGAGAGTTACTGATACCATGAGCATATGCTACGTCACTTGAATAATCCTTAGCCTTGCTTCTACAACATCCAGGCTTTTAAAATAGCTCTTGAAAGCAGATTTTGATGAAAATAGACTACTTTCCCTTTATTTACAGCTTTTAAAATGAAGCACATTGGATAACTAGGGTGCAGTGCTAAAACTGTTATTACAAGGCAACTAATTCAGAAAGAATTTTATGTTGTTGTTGTTAAATATGGTATAGCAAGCTCCATGTTCTCTGGCCCCGCACTCATAGTCCTGTGCCATCTGTAACACCCACACACATCCTGTGCTATCTTCCCAGCATTGTATACCATACATCTCCTGGAGAAATCATACCCAGCAACTCAGTCGCTCACCATTAAAAGACTGAACTGCTCCCACAACAGTGCTGTGAGTCATGACTTTTCTTGGTGCCTGAATCATCTGAACAGCTGCAGCAATTGCAGACCAATAAAGCTCTTTGGGAATAGGTAGATTCCTGCTTTTTCATAGTGCAGCTTTGTGTTTTCCACAGACCATGTTGCTTCAAGGGGTATGCAGGAAGACTGGCTCAGCTCACAGGAGATCTGTCTCATGTTCTTGGCTTTTCTTAAAAGAAGCAATGTCCCATGAGTACAAAATAATCCAACTTTTACTCTCCATCATTTATTATACCAGCTGGCTGAAGCTATACCCAAAAAATGGTGCATCTGAACAAACTGGTTAAGAAAGGATGCAATTAACAACCCAAGTGGCTTTTTAAAACAATGTAGTAAACCACATCTAAGTCTTGCCAAATAATCACAATGTCTCTGATCCTGGGAATCCACTGTACATTTTACACTGGAAGTACTAATCATTTGCCACAGAAGGTTAAGTCGGGACACTGAGACTACATTAAAATATATATATATCTTCAGTCTGATTGTCTTTTAGTCTAATGAAATAATATGTTTTGGCTATTTTTGCTTATAGATCAGTCAAGAGGTTCCCTGACAGATCTGATTTGCCTTGGCCCCTTTTTGTCAGGAAATGCCCTCGGGGTGTTCGTAGATTGAATGCTTTTCCAGGTAACCAGTTGAAACTGAGCAAGCAGCCCCTAGGACATGTTGTCTAGCAGTTTCAGTGGCTTAGATCTAGTACTAAGGTGTCTGACAGCAAATTGTCATTTTCAATTGGACACCTTCTTCTTAGGATCATCCACTATCTCATATACACATGCATATATATATTAAAAAAAAAAAGCATCTATATATATGTATATATCCATACTTATTAAGAATATATATGCACACATACATGAAGGACTGCTTTCTGTTTTCCAAGACACAAAATAACACATATGCAAGCTTTGATTAAAAGCCAGGCTAGTATGCTTCATTTGTAGAGTATTAGTCAAAATCAGCAAAAATCCCAAAGCAAATCCCCCTGCAAGCCAGGATAGCTCTGGTATAATGCCAGAAGTCTCGTTTACATTGGACAAGTGCAAGTGGGAAGCATAGCTTTCTTGATTCCTTTACCAAGGAAAAAGAATCAAATGTAACAGATCAAAAATAAATCTGGTGCAGAGGCAGAGAAAAGGTGTGTTGCATTCAAAACTGATACCTTGTCTTTTACCAATATACTTTTTGAGATGCTATGCATATCTATATACCTGGAGTTTCCAGTGCATTCTTACATTAGACACAACATATCCAGAATCCTGTAGTATTGGTGTTGACAGATTCTTATGCACCGTAGACAGGTGAAACAACAGTTGCCATAATATCCTCAGCCCTTTAAGGAGAATTCTTTCATGGCTCATTCAGAGTTTCTCAGCAATATAAATAATGTCAAGTTTCCCATCCCTTATCAAACAGAATACTTAATGGCAAAATTTAGCTGTGACAATTAGAGAGAAGCACCCACAAGCATCATCCATCACTCAGCAAGCTTCCCTGTCTGCTTCACTCATGATGAGCAATGCTGCCCTTTTTCCATGAGGTAAATGCAGTGCCATCACGTTAGTAAGAAAAAGAGTGGGGACTAGCTCCCTCCTTCTCATTTGGCTGCTGAGATGGAGCCACTTACTAACTGCATGGGTGGAAGCTTGTAGAGGTAATATTTCAGGTGCTGATGTTACTTAGTTGCAGAGAGGTTGCCTGTGCTCTGTGGCTAATCTCATCCTGGAAGGATCATGTTAGAAGAGCAGCTAAGGTGATACCACAACACAAACAGCTAATACCAATATGAGATTTGACAGCAGATGAAACTGCAACCTCTCCATCAGCATGCTGCATCAGGCAATAATTTATTTCATCTGTGATAGCTCTTCCATAATGTTATGGATTGGATCCATCCCTTTGCTCAACTACTGCCTACTGCCTGAGATAGGCTAGGGTGGGAATCCACATGTGCATCCTTATTACTTCAGTGGTGATGCATAGTGCATCTAAATTCAGCATCAGAAATAACTGGGAGAATATTTGGGCAGTGTAACAGGAATAAATTACATTGTATGCCCTATACTTTTAGCATGCTTTGTAAGAAACCACCTCTGACTACAGCCAGGAGACAAAATATGTCTTACCAAAAGGTAAAATAAAAATAAAAGTAACTTCACTCTATTCTACTCAAGAGATTTCATTTTCCATAATGCAACAAAATATTTACTGGGCCAAGAAGGCAACAGGTTCATTCTTTAGTGGCTTTGTGGCCAGAAATAAAATGGGAGTCCTGGAGTTACTTAATATACTGGAGAGTGCTCACTATATATTTTATCAAAAGACTACTTTACACAATTGCAAAAAATTGTGTCCTGAGAGCTACAGGTGACACCCATCATCCTGTCTCCCTAAGAGCTAGCCTAAGAGATTAACAGCATCCTTTCTAGGTTTAAGAGATTATTCTTTTACATCGTTGTCCCAAAGCTTGCTGACGACACAGATGAACAAGTTCAGGCAAGTCCTGGGCAGGGGTTGAGAAATCCTGTCAGAGGGACATAGATGGACAAGACCAGGGGCAACAAGAGAGAGAAAAGCTGAAGCTTAATGGCCATGAAGCTGTCTTTCGTGTGGGCTTATCTCAAGGAAGACAGCCATCTCAGGGGGTACTCACAAGACTCTTGCTCAAGCACCCAGGGATGTCACGTAGGCAGGAAAAGAAGGATAAAATGGGGACCTACAATCATGAGGCAGAGGTTTTCTGGCAACAGATTCCTCATGAAGAAGAGGTTTCTGCTATGAAAAAGCCTCACAACCTGCCTCTCTCCCTCCTGGACTTGCTCTGCGCTCTGCCACGATGCTGAAGAAGAACAAAGGTGTCTGCCATCAGATTCCTCACTACGGAATTCCTGCATGCTGACGGATTCTCCTGGGCCTGCTGCTTCCCCCTGGATTGGCTCTGTGACTGCCTCCTGCTACCTGCTTGCTGCCCAAGGTCAGCCACACTGCTGCTCTCCCCCCTCGGACCTTTGAAGCAGCATGCAACAGGACCGCTGCTGGATCCTGGTGGTGACTATCCCCGCTTTACACGATTTTTGCTTCTTTCCTATCTTTTCTATCGCTCTCCTTCCCTTCCCCGTCTCCCTGATTAGGATTGATAATAAACTGGATTGGACTAACATATGAACCGTTGTTTCTTAATCTCACGCCAGGTATACAGATATTAAAAGAACCTCATTTCTCTCCTATAAATTGGAGCGAGACACTGGAGCACCTCACTGCTCTAATAAGCTATACACAGTGGTACCCATTCTAGAAATTGAGAAATATTTGGCATAAATGAGCTTTGCATTATCCAGTCTTCTTTTAAGAATCTGGGCACATCATTAGCTTCTTCAAAAACACAGTAAAATTTATTAAAAAAAGAATTTTCTTCACATTCAAAAAAGTCAAATCCATTTCAACAAGAAAGTATGAAAATGTTAACATTAGCATTGTATAATACTTATGACAAAGCAGAGAGCAGAGGTGTTCTGCTGGTTTTTTCAAATTGTGATAACATGGTAGTGAGCCCAGTAGCCATATAATAATACTGTAAATATAGGATAATCAACCATCTCTGTAGAATGTAACCCCAGGATAATTATGCACTTCTCTATATCTTTAAAACAAAGCCTTATCTTCACATCTAAAAAGTGGAAGTTACATGGTAATTATTCTTTGAATTACTTTGTAACTGGTAGTATAATTATCAAGTAATCTGCATGAAAATAATTAGGTATTTACATAGTCTTTGCAACATAATTACAGAGTAGTTGGCTGATTATACAGCAAGTGCCTTGAAAGAGAAAATGATACCAAAAAGACAAAAAACATTATAAAAATTACTTGTCATTTGGACTAAAATGAATTAATCTTGAATAAGAATTTCTCTGCATTTTGTGGGAGTGTATTTTTGTGTACAAATATCTGCCTGTGTTTGTGCATGTGAAGGTGACAAACAATAGAGATCTCACAGGAGACAAGAGAATGCACTAATCATGGCAGCAGTTGGTCAGTTACCTGGATAGAGGAGACTTGTAGAATCAATCATTTCTCAAGTCAAACTTCTCTCAGATGGTAATTTCTTACAGGATTCACAACCATTCCACCTAGCAAGTTCATCTATGTTCAAATGCTTAATAAGTTGGTGGAAATGATATGAGGATAGAGTGAATGTTTAAAAGCAATTATTCTAGTTGACTTTTACTCCAACTGTCACCTGAAAAAAAAATGAATTCACTGTATAATTGTTATTTTAAAAGACATTATTAATCTTCTTAATTTATTAAGAAAAAATATAATTTCACTAGTTTGTTTTTGTTCTGAGTGATGCAACACAATAATTGACTTTGATCCCCATTAGATATCTGCATCTTCTTCTCTGCTTGCACAGTTCTAGTCTTATCAATTATCAGATGTAGATTCTGAAACAATAGAGATCATTTCCAAAGTAGAAAGTCATTACTTGGTAATCATTTACATTTAAACAGCAACATGGATTGAGCAGAATGCAAGTACTCAAAACATTATAAATATGGCTAAAGTATGAGGACTGCCTGCTGTTTTATTATCCTGGCCCACAATATCAGAAGTAAATATTAGTGGTATGGCAGTAGAGGCTAAATATTCTCATTAATATTCTATTACATTCTGCTTCCATTCTACAGATGGCAGCAGAGAGGCAGCCAGATAAAATGATGTCTGACGTGGAAGTACGTATGAAGTGTGTCATTCGAATTCCTCCATGTGGAAAAAAATTGCACCCACTGACATTCATCAGTCCTACCTGATGTTTGGAGAGCAAACAGTAGATGTGAGCCCAGTGAGGCAGGTAAAGCTAAAAGTCAGAACAAATACCAATGTATTCAAAACTGCAGGTAGAAAATTAAGAGGCTCAAATCAGAAAGACAGGGAAAAAAGGGAGAAAAAACACTGGCCAAAATTAAAGCATATGTATATGTAAAACCATCGAACTCAGTACCAATTCTAAGTGTGACAGAAAAAAGGTAGGGGACAAACAGCCTCTCTTGTTTCTACATAACCTCCATTTCCCATCAAGAATGGACAATTATTAGAGTTTGGCTAAGTCACTGAGAGAGTTTTTTTAGTTGTTTTTTTTTTGTTTGTTTTTGTTTGTTTGTTTTTTTTACATTCCAGGGAGTTACCATAATGAACCCTAGAAAGAAAGCCCGTTAATAACAATCAAAGCTTTCAACAAATTTTAGAATCTGAAAATCTGAAAACAAGCAAAAGTCTGTGTAAGGTAAGTAGGCCAGTGACACTAAAGAGTTAACAATGCCAAGAAGAAAAAAGATTTTAATTCACAGCATGATCAGTATTTTAAGCCCCAGACAGCCCTGAAATATGTTCATACAAGTTTAAACAATCAAGTTCCATTTCTGCTAGACAGGAGTTTTTAAGAGCTATTTCCACTTGATTCAATTGATTTACATGGTAAATAGTGCCTGAGATAGGCCCAGCCATTATCTCTTTCTTCAGCTTATAATGGTCTTTACAAGGCCCTCAGTATCTACTTTTTTTCTCTTTTTTTTTTGTATTATATATTTTTAATTTACATTTCTCTGGTAATTTCTGAATTGCTGTGGTTAGTTAATAGCAAACCAGAGCTATTAATGGATAGCAGGTTACATAATGCAAGTTCTTGCATGTTGCATGGCAGGTTAAAGTGGCCTCTTACTCTCTAGTACAAGCCTGACTGGAGACTCCACAGGAGCACAATTGGAGTTAAGAGCTCTGAATGCTATTCTGTGGGAAATGGCAGCAGTTTGACCCCACAAGACTTGTTTTCTCTTGCAGCAATAAAACAAATGCTTCCTCAGTGAGAGGAACTAATGCTGCCATGCCTCATGTGTCTATGCCTCAATCTCCTGAGCCAAGTACAAGGAGTACTATGCAGACATACTGTGGATGGGAGGCCAAGACCTTAGAGGTCTAGCAGGCTCTTTTGCCACCTGCCTTAAATAGTTCACAAGCTCCCAAGTTATATTACATCAGTTGCTGCCCAGCTGTGTATCTTCCCTGCTAATTAGAAGGTAGCTACACTGTCTTTTAAGGACACTGCAACCAGATGATAGTAAACAAAGGGGCAGCTTCAGCTTGACAAACAGATAAGGCTAGCAGCTGCAATCTTTCACACCCTGTGTTTCAAAGGTTTCAAAGGGACACTTCAAATACAAAGAAAGTTTTCATTACCACAGAGTCTTTAAAACACTTTGAATTTACCTGGAAACTCTTGCCTCAGTCAGGTCACCTTCAATGTCTTCCTTCTTGATCAGTTACAACTTTCACAGCATCTTTTAAGCATGATTATCTCCAAGACAGCATCTCTCCATCCAGTCAGATAGCAGGCTGGAAAATTTACATAGAAAATCAGCTTAGAAATCACTAGAGTTGAATATGCTTTTATTGGATGTATCTGAATAAATACAGTTCAAAAGTCTTTGAGAATATTCAATCCTACTCTGGAGCAAGGCATGGTAATTGCCCATCAGCAATCGTTAATACTGGATCAGGTTTTGTAACCACTATTCATCACATTACACCCTGAGTTTATATAAATTTACGGTAGATCTACTGTATAATCAAAGAATATTAAGATGTTATAATAACAAAATAAACAAGAGAGTTTAAACAAGAGAGTTAGGCAAAGCAAGACAAAGAGAATAAACAGGACACTTACCCATACCCTGGGCTTGCTCAGGAAACTCCAGCAGAGTGAATCTCCAGAAGAGAAATCCTTCCTAAGTGGTAGTCAGCTCTTAAATGGGTCTAGGAGAGGTGGAGCCAGGCTTCACCCCTTCCTGCAGCACAGGTGATTTGCCTTCACCTGTTCTCCCATGGCTGACTCATTGCTCACCTCAGGTGATCAATCAGAGGTTCAGGCCGTGACTCAGTGTGGGAATCAAATGTTGTTTCTGCTTTAGAATTGGATAATATTTTTTATTTCATGATCTCTGTTGTCATAGTTCTTTTTGGGAGTCTTTCTACTTAACTTGGGGAAGATGTCTGATAGTTTACATCACTTATCCTTCCCAGGAATGCACGCTCTGTATATAGGTGTATATATGTACATTTTGTCACACACATTGCAAGAAGAT